TTTTTTTCTTGATTCTTACCTACTCATCCCCTTCTATCTGCAAGAAACTAGTAATAATTATAAAAATTAAAGACCACTTATTTATTCATACTCTGCCCCACTTTCTAATACACATTCTGATGTTTTATGTGCTTAATAGCACATTTTAATGATACTTGTTAAAGTGTTATCAGGTTATAGAACGTCTTTCTCTCTGAAGGCTTCGCCTATATAAGCAGTGATTTTAGGAACTAACCTTGATATTGAGGGAGACAGATGTTTCCATTTTTTCTATTCCTTACAAAGACCAAATTAGCCAGTTTATAGATTGTTTCCCATATAGTGTATTCCTACCATAGTTTACTACACCTATGTGTATTGCCACGTTTAAGCTGCAAAACAAAAATTGTTCTGCTTTTAAAGTTACTCATATCCTGTTGACTATAATCAGAAATAATTTTTCTGCTCATTTTTCTTTAGATGAAATATTATAAAGAATTTTGTTGGTTTCAAGGTTGAGATGAACACATTATCTTGGGCTGGTGCTTTTTTTAGTTAAATAATGTTTTATTAGGTGTTTTGAGAGGCAGAGATGTTGGACTTCAGTTTGGGAATGCTACCAAATGGTCTGATTTCATAGAAGACAAATAGTCTTAACAAGAGGGAGAAATAAAAAGGTATTATGTACCAAAATAAATGAAAAAGGATCACATTCACAAATGCTGTATGTTTAACAAAATACTTGTAGATGGTAACAGCCAATAGTCTTATCAAGTGCTACAATCTTTTTGAACAGGGAATGGCCAAATCCAGTGCTTTTGAAACAGCCTGAAGAATGCAATCTTAATTTGCCTGTGTGGGACCCAAGGGTTAGTGTATTATTTTTTCCCCTACAAATTCACGCTGTGCAATAACAAGTAAAAGTCATCTACATAAACTCCAGAGAGACGTACCAGCCCTTTACAAAGTATGAGTGGACATATCTGTATTACACTTTCTTTTAGATAACCTCATCTATAATTGTCCTCTGATGTGAGAAGCATAATGATGTACCCTGTGAATCACATTTAATTGTACATAATTTTTAATACAAATTTTACTAACATTTTAAATCTATATAGAACTACCTTGTAAATCAAAGTTGTGTGGGCATTTGTGCTTTAAAAAAATAAAAGGATACTAAAAATCCCTGTATTTTTTCATTTGATCTAAATATTTTGTTAAAATTCGGATGTTGTAGGAAAGCTGTTGCTTAATGGTTTGCACGTAGTAGATAATATGTTAGCAGTATCATACTAGTGACCATGTATAGTTGTAAATACTGGTTTAAAATATTTTAGACTACGAAACTATGGTTGGGCAAAAAAGAGTTGTTTTGTTTCTTGGAAAGTTAGGACATTAGCTGCTTGCACATTTTAAATGTTAACATGAATTTTTAGGTTTCAAGTATATTTTTTCTTAGAGGCAGCATCTCACTATGTGAATCAGGCGTGAATTCACTGTGTAAGCCTAGGCTGGCCTTAACTCAGGGCAATCCTCCCTCAGCCTTCCAAGTGCTGGGATTACCGATGTGCTCTCATGCCCAGATTTATTAGTTGAAAAAGCAAATTTGGATTAGAGTAAGGTTTATGGAACTTCATTTTTCTAGATTAGTTTTCTCTATTACTATAGTATGTAAAACTTTTAAATTCTATTTAATTTACATTAAGCTATATATTTCCAAGTTTTCCAAACCTTAAGGCATGAAATTTTGTAGGATGTGAGTTCATAGTTCCCTTTGGAATATGTCACCACCAGTGTGCAAATTAGCAGCCACCTTTTAAAGTGCTGTCAATGTAGGCAAAATAGTTTTAGTGTGTGTTAATAAGCTTAACCTCCTTGTTAGTTCAGGAATATATTAAAAACTAGTTTCCAGTAATTGTGTGAGCAGTTTTGGGGTTTTGCTTTTGCTTAGAAGACACATCTTTTTTCCTAGAAAGGTTGCTAAAATAATCATGCCAAAATGATTACAACAAACCATTAGTTTTTACCAAATCTCTGATTCTGTAATCTCTCCTTTCTTGATTTTTTTCTTTCTCAACTCCAGCTATGAATGATAAAAATTTAATCAGGGTAACAAGGGGTAAAAAGTCCGAGTATCTGTTGCATTGTACTTGAAGAAACTGATTGGCTGTTGTTGTATGTAGGTAAACCCCAGTGATAGGTACCATCTTATGCCTATAATTACACCAGCATACCCACAACAGAACTCCACGTACAATGTGTCCGTTTCAACACGGATGGTCATGGTTGAGGAGTTTAAACAAGGTAAGTGTTATCCTTATGATCTCCTTTATACCTGAAGATTACATACCATTGTAGAATGTGAAGAACACGTTCACTCAAGTGGATTTTGGTGCTCATTTTTTGATTACAGTAAATATTTTAGAGTATTTCTTTTACATAATTTAGTTTTGATTATATTCTGAAAGATTAACCATCAGTTAAAATCATTTCTTTAGCTGGGCCATAGTGCTATTCTGTTGCTGTATAAAAAAAAAAAAACTATAAACAGCATTTTGTCTCCACTGGATGATATGAAGAATTCTTAGGGCTTATACTCCTGGGAAAAAAATTTTGAGCAAGCTTAGGGGAAAAACTCTTTATTCTAGAAGAAACTTCTGAGCTTTCTTGAACCTCTTTGAGTTTGTTTTTAAATTTCAGCCTATAGCTCTTACCATCTGGTCTTTCAGGGAAGTAACCAGAATAGGATCATGTCATTGAGAGTTGAGTAGAAAAGGAAATAGGAAACTCTTGAATACCAGCTTTCAGTTTAAAAGTTTAATAACCTTTCCTTTTGTTCAGTGAGGCTTTTCATAGGAGGATGCTTTTAATCCCTTTAACCATAGCAGCCAGCTTGTCTTTAGAAAGGAGAAACTACGTATATGGGAAACTTGTCTTTCTTTGGTAACAGTGCTTCAATTTTGAGGAATTCATTCTATGGGATTGACATTTCAGAGTACTGGTGATTTACAAGAAGTCTGGCTCTCAAAAAATGCTCCAGGTTTTTTGAAAAAAATGTATGTAACAGTGTGCTCTAAGGCTATAAACTATAAAATGCTCATTTAGTTTTAGGATTATATTGAATGCCTGTGATATATTTAAATTTAAAATTTTAGATTGTTAGGCTGAAGGATGCAAACATTTTAATATGTTTTTAATTTAGGTCTTGCTATCACAGATGAAATTTTGCTGAGTAAGGCAGAGTGGTCCAAACTTTTTGAAGCTCCAAACTTCTTTCAAAAGTACAAGTATGTATTTTAAGGCATGTTGGTTGGATATGTTGCTCTTTTAACAAATGGTTTAATGATAGTATAAATGGTGTCTTAGTCCTAGATTCATATGGTTTTGGATTTTCCTTCTGACAAAGGATATATATCATTTTTAATAAATCACATTTTCTTTTTGTCAGAATGATCTATGGCCCTTTATTTCCTCTTTTTTTTTTTTTTTTTTTGCAGAACTGGGGATTGAACTCAAGCCCTTGCACTTGCCAGGCAAGCGCTTATTCTACTGAGCTATCTCCCCGGCCCCTATTATCTCATCTTAATGAACTGCTGCACATTTGTACTAGCATCAGTTCTGTAGGGCTGTGTGAGCCATTCTCAGTACTCTTGTCAAATGAGTAATTGCAATGATCTGTAGTTACATTTCCTCTTGAGAAGCTAAGTATTTTCATTGGCTTCAGGAAACTTGTTTACCCATAATAGCTTTATTACAGACAGCTAATAAAATGGTAAAGCGTGGTGGCCAGTTGTGTTTTCAAAAGTGAAATTATTGGCCTACCATTTCCCCTATGTTAAGCATCTTCAAATATGTTTCAAATAATTTTCTTGTGATTTAAATAATTATTTTTATTAGTGGTTTAAAAAAAAAAAAGTACGACCCCAAACCACTGACTTCCACTTTTGTCTTGGGCTGTAAATTTGCTAAAGACCCATTAAAGATTTCTTAATGCTTGAAACTTTTCTTGACCATTTGATCTTATGTTGGATTGTGTTTGTAATCTAAGAAGGATTATTTTATGCTATTTCCCGAATTAAAAAAAGAATGGTGACCTTCATGATGTCTCTGTGTTTTGTTTTTGTTATCTTTTGCATGAAAAAGCAATAATTCAGCCAGCTTAATCATATTCTGGGAGCACTGTTAATAAAATTTAAATAGCATAATGTAGAATGCTCCTGTTACTCAGATTGTGCTTTCCATTTGATATAATATTGTGATTTTTAAACTAAATTTTGAGGGAAGTATCTTTGAATGTTTAATAAACGTGCTCTCTAAAGAGACATAATTACATATAAGGAGAAAGATAAAGGTCTTCTTGAAAAACTCATAATTTCTGAGAATCAAAATATATTCCATTAGCCTGATGTGGTGTACTCCTGTAATCCTAGCCCTCAGAAGGCTGAGCCAGGAGGAGATCTCAGCTGCATAGTGAGTTCAAGGTCAGCTGGAACAACATAGCAAGACCCTATCTCAACAACAAAAAATTCCTTTTTTCTAATTTACTTGTGTGACTACGAGGATCTTCAAAGTCTGTACTTAAATAGTTTTCTTCATTTTGGGAAAGACTAACTTGCTAATTGGAAAATGACATTTAAAATTTTGGTGCCCCTCGTCCCTGTCCTCTATGTACTTTGGGTTGAACCAGGGCCTGGTGCTGAACTGCATTCCCAGGGTGGGTTAAATTTTGATCTAGGATCTCTCTAAGTTACTCAGGGTAGAATCAAACTTGAGAGCCTCTTGCCCTTGCCCTAGCCTCTTTTGATATTCCTTTAAACAGTTTTTTAAAACATTGTTTGCTAATAGTACCTACCAGCTTTGACAAAAAGATTATATATGAATAGTCTTAGTGAAACAGTCGAATCTTTTTAGGTTATTAAAAATGACTTAACATATGAAGAAGTAGGAAAACTTCAGGAAAATTTAAAGTGTGTTGTGGAAAAACTAATATTTGGAGACATGACGGTATGTTAATTTTATCTCTACTTAGTTTCTTTCTATTAACTCTTGTAGAGAAATGTCTCCTTTTAAGTTACAGTGATGACTGCCCATTATTAGGCTTTGAGATATTCACAGACTTGAATTTTTATTTTTATTTTTATTTTCTTTCTTTCTTTCTTTCTTTCTTTCTTTCTTTCTTTCTTTCTTTCAGTGAATGGTCTACAGGGTGTTCAGGGTCTCACTACTAGATCGGACTTGTAGTGATTCTCCTGTTTATAGCCTCCCAAGAGCTGGGATTACAGGTGTGCATCACCACGCCCAGTCTCAGTCGCCATCTCAGCACACCCGTGGGGCGGGTGGCACTGCAGGCCTGGGGATTGAACCCTGGCCCCTGTGTCTGCTTGCAGGAGTTTTAATCTGAGCTATTTGGCTGGCCCTTAATTTTTAAAAAATAAATTTTGGTGCTCGCCTTGCCAGTACGTCACTAAGATTGGAGCCATGCAGTGAGGCCCCACACAAGGGTGGCATGCAAGTCTGAGGCGTTCCGTATTTTTAACTTGTCCTTTTTCTTTTGGCGGAACAGGGGATTGAACCCTGGCCCTTGCACCTGCCAGGGAAGTGCTTATTCCACTGAGCCATCTCCCTGGCCCTTCCATATTTTTTAAAAAAGTTTTCAGATTTAATATCCCAGTAATTGGCTGTATCTGAATTGGAACTCTTCCCTTGATTGTAAGTTGGTTAAACATTCTTTGGTGCATGGCGTGATAATATCATTTGGTAGGTAGACTTTTAAAAAGTTTGATTATTACTTACCATTCTTAGAAGAGAATGACAGAGAAAATTTAACTTGTCTTAAAAAGCCAGTAAATTACTTCCATAAAAATGTACCAGCCTGCCTTGAAAGGGGGAAGAACTATTTGATGAAATTTTAGAGTTCAAAAAATATGTTTTCCATAGTTGTGTAACATAACTTGACAAATAACTAGCATTAAGATACTTTGTTAACACTTAAGAATTAACCCATATTTCAGGCTTTACATTTTACTAGAAAAGAAGGAAAAAGGTATTAGTAAAGCTGAAATGTTGTCTTAAGAATAAACATACTTTTAATGAATTACATAAAATAATTTAGCGTTAAATTTTTTAAAAAAGATATAAAATGTTTTAATTGTACATCTTAGCTCTGAGTACATAAGGATAAAATTGCAAGGAATTTTAAGAATTTCAGTATTATCATTTGAGTTATGTTCTACCCAGGTAAAATATTGAGATGAAACAGCCAGGAAATCCACTTAGAAAATGCTTTTTGAAAGCAATTATTAGGTAGCATAACAAATCAACGTAAGTATTGTTCTAAGTAGATTTTATCCATGTAAAATACATTTGATAATTGTTATTGATAAGTAGGGTAACGGGTAGATTTAGGGGAAGGATTATTGCGGTTACACTGACTTAACAATGTGTGCAAGTATTTGAGACTACTGATTATGTGGCCTTTGGGAAGTAGAGGATCATGTATTTTGGTACAAAAAGGAGGTTAGAAGTGTTTCTGCTTCTATGCTGGTAGAATCCTTGGGAACTGAAAGTCTGTTCTTGAAAGTTAGAAAGCAGGTTTATAGAGAAATTTGGGTTTCTTGAATTTTTGGATGAGTTTATTTTTCTAATTACTATGAGAAATACAGCTATATTAGCTATATTGCATTTACTGTCATTTGAAGTTTGCATACATGTCGTTGATTAAAGAACATCCTCAGCACAAGTATTAGACCTTTTACCTGTATGTGAATATGTGAATTTGTATATAAGTATTGAACAGCGAAGAAACTCCCACACCCAATTCAATACTAATCATAGTTGAAAACTTTAGACTTCAAAGTTTTAAACTTAGAATTGCCAACAAAATTATATTCAATACATTGCATATTTTGTCATAGTTAAATGAGTGTTTTTTGAGTGTACTGGTTTGTTTTGTCTTTGTAAATAAGAGACTGTTCACCATATCTTTTAAGCTTTTGATCAAGGCTGGTACTGATAAAATTAACTTGACAGTATAAGGAATGATTTAGAAATTTGTTCTTAGCAGGGTAATCTCAGACAACTTTGTATAATTCTGTGGGTATGGATGACTTTTCTACTTTGTTGCCTATTGTTAATAGTTCCTATACTTACCAGACAGTTCTTCTACCATCTTTTTCCTTTTTAAGAAAGTTTAGTCGTAAAGTACTTTTTTTTTTTTTCCAAATAGGCCAGAAAGTTACAAATTCTGATGTGCATTTTTGTTTCAACTTTCAGCTCTGAATGTGGTTTTCTTTATACACATAGCATGAGCTTTTAGATTATTACCTGTTTTATTCCTGTATACTTTCACATATACACATATACATGTATGTTTCATTTTTGTTTGTATGTATATATACCTATCTGTATATTTGCCTCTGCTAATTTGTACATAGTTAACTGAACTTTGAAATATTTTTGCCAGCAAGACAGGTAGTAGTATTATCCCATTATGAATTATGTACACAAGTCTTTGAATTAACCTAAGGTTACAAAGAATTGGAACTAGCTTTTCCTTTGTTGTGAGCATAATTTAAACAATAGCTGGGCTGTTTTAAGGAAGCATGGTTTAAAAATGCTTTTGTATGTTAGACTTTTGTTAACATTTTCAAAGACGTTCTCATACTATTTCTTTTAAAGTATGGCAGTTTCTTCCTGGCTGTAGTCAGACTTAACATTTGGGTAGTAACCATACTTGTAAAATGTGAGAAAACGTCAGAAAGCTTTTGGACCTTTAGAAGAATAAGAAGTATTGGCCATACTGCCTCTTCCCTCGGAAGTATCCATGCTACTAGATAATGGTGTCATTTTGCAGGTTAAAACTTCTGTTGTGAAATTTAGCTTGCAGAACTTAATTAATTCAGAAGGGTTTATTTTACTGAATTTTCACTAGTCTGAGAGAGACTTATGCTTTAGGTGTAATAGGTAAAAATGGACCTAAAAATAGATGTTTCATCATGATGGTATTCTCTGAAATAAAAGTTTACTGTGTCTTTTTTCAGTGGTATTGAATTCTGAAATCCGAGTGTTGTGGTTGATTTTAGGAGTAGTGGTATTTTTTTCTTCTCACAGAAACTTACCCTGCTACTTTGGAGACAAGGGGCCTGATTTTGTTGTTTAATTTTCACAACCATTTCATGTTTTAAAAATCTGATACATTTGATGTTAGTCCTTTTTTTTTTTTTTTTTTTAACTTTTTTGTTGAAGTTATTTCAGTGAGCAACTCTTTGGTAGGTAGAGAGCCCTCCCCTGGAGTTACTGAGCAAAATCATATTTAGCCTTTTTGAGGTCAGCTGCCGTTTTAGTAATTATTCGTAAATCACTGATTTTCTGGGGTTGGTTTTTTTTTTTTTTTTTTTTTTTTTTTTCCAGGGGGGGAAAAAAAGTATTTTTTCACAGTGCTAGAATCAGA